AACCTGTCCCAGTGCTCCCACCCTCTGCGGGAAGAATTCCTTCCTGATGGCCCATCTCCATCTCCCTCTTTCCGTTCAAACCCGTCACCCCTTGTCCTGTCATTCCCTGCCCTTGGGAAAAGCCCCCCTCCAGGCCCCCTTCAGGCACTGGAAGGCTGCAATAAGGTCTCCCCAGAGCCTCCTCTTCTCCAGGCTGAAGAAGCCCAGTTCTTCATAGCAGAGGGGCTCCAGCCCTTGGAGCATCTCCGTGGCCTCCTCTGGACTCGCAGTTCCAAGAGACGCTGGTATCTTGCTGACCAAGATAAAAAGTGCTATTTTTCTACTCACCCCATCGTGTACCAGCGCCTTCCAAGAGTGCTCCAGCTTCTTGACAAATCTGACAAAGGAATTAAGGACAGTTTTCAGACCAAGCCCCCGTGGCATCACGCCGTGCTCGCTCAGCACGGGGCCTGGCTGGGGGCACAGTGGTAAGAACACCCCCAACAGACTCGGTGGCCTTTGGCTTCTCTTCATCGCCTCGTTCTTTTTTTTAAGACACGGACACCCGACTGCACAGTTCACTCCCAAGAGGAGTTTCACAGGCGTCACTACTGAGGGCAGTTCACTTGCTGCGACGCTGAACAGAGACTTTATGCACACAACCCTCTGCCCGTGGTATTTTACAGGGAGAAGTGGCTACGGCCATTTTAAGCCGCTTTCCTTCCCACTTCCTGCACGCTGCCGGCGTACAACCACCACAGCAGGCAAAACCAACCTCCTAAGGGTAAACCTATTCCGGGAACGTGACGCCAAGACAGTAAGCGAGACCCAGAAATCAATCCCAAAACGCTCGACTTCCAGAAAACAGAAAGTGGTAAATAATTTAAAAAAAAAAAACACAACAAAAACGTTTATTTGTGTCTTAACTATTTCTTGAAAGGCAACGGTGAGAGCCGGTGCCGTGACGCACAGCTGTCACCAGAGGTTTCTCACCTGTAGGACTGCAGCACGTCAATGATGCCGATGTAGAGCAGCAGCCTCTCCCCCTTGGCGTTGCGGGCTGGAATACCTCCCATCCTAGAAGAGGAGAGGGCCCAAAGATGGATCAGGGCGCTCTCCCGCCGCTCAGCGCGGGCCGAGCGTTACGTGAGCTATCCAATGAGCGTCAACACGCGGGAGGGCACCCACTGATCAGCTGGTGACTTGGGGAAGGCAAGTCAGTGCCGTTATTTCAGCTAAAGCCCCGAGAACTGACCCCCTTTTCCCTCTGTATGGCAATTTAATTGGAGATAAGGATTAATCCCGACTCATCCACGAGAGGAGACCAAGCAATTGCGAAGAGCATCTACCACCATCCACCCTAAGACGGCAGTTGGACTTTACGGGCAGTGAAGCCTCGGAGATGGGAATAACTTGTGGAAGCTGCCAATAACGGGGGGCAGAGAACCCTCAAACGCCACCTGGAAGGCGAGAAAACTGTCTCCTACGTTAAGGAGGGGAAACCAAAGGTAAAAGCAGGAGATTTGATGCCGAGACTGCTCTGCCCGGCGTGACAGCGATCCCGTTCAGCCCAGCGTGCACCCAAGTTAAGTCTCCGTTAGCCCGGCGCGGGCGTTACTCCTCGCAGCAACACGGACGCAGACTTACTGGTCGTCCGTTTCTATGGTGCCACCCCGTCGGGCCTCTCCTTGGATGGATTCCATGGCCGTGGAGTAGAGGGCCTTCTGGGCAGCGGGTCGGCGCGTATCGGCTTGGGACGTCCCGTCGGCCAGCGCGTGTTCTCTCTGCGCCAGATCGATGTTATGGATTGCAACAAGCAAACTGTAATCCATGATTTTAAAGCTCTGCAGGACCTGGGCAGAAAGTCAGCGGAAGCCGGGTGAGTACTGCAAGCCCCGTGAAACAGTCAGAGCTGACATTCTCGGGTGCACAGTCAGCATTTTGTCCCTCGAGCCCCGAGCGGACAGAGGGGACAGCTCGTGCACAGTCAGCTCATGTCCAGTGACGAAGGGAGGCAGAGGGGTGCTCTCCGTACCCCTGCGCAGAACGCTGCCTTCTGCACGGCCGCTCAAAGGCAGGGGCCAGCTCAAGAGCAGACTCGGTTAAGCATCCCGCCCTCTCCCCGGATCCTGCCCTCTTCCAGAGCTCAGCCTTGGCAGAGGGAGCTTCCTCCCCGCTCCAGCAGTCCTGGGTTTTATACAGGTTGGAAGTACTGCATGAAACTGGGGGTCAGGTCCTGCTTCTCGCACCAAAACCACAGGTTCTCTAAGTCAACACCCCAGGCAGAGGCTCCCATCTCCTTTTCCTGGGAAAGGCTCAGACAAAGAGAACAACTCTCCACGCCACCCTTCGCCTTCCCACTTACCAAACAGTCTCTCTGCAACGTCTTGCACAGAGCGTTATACATGTCAGAGTCTAAGAAGAGGCCATCAGGGATGTCCTGCATAAAATCCAAGTCCTTGTACGTTGGGAAAACCTTCTCCCGCTCCTTCTGGGATGCCCGGCGTTTGTAGGTGGAGCCCTTCAGGTCGTACTTCAGGTGCATTTTGACCGAGCGCGGCAGCAGGTTGTTCATCACGACGATGCGGATGTTTTTGCCTCCGGCCTGGACGCAGTACAAGCCGTAAAACTTGGGCAGCAGCGTTCTCGGGTTCTGGTTCAGATTCTGAAATGCCAAAGAAACCCCTTTCAAAGCCCATCCCGGTTCTTCCCACATCCGTTAGAGGAGATACCGGCTCCTTCCCGTGTTGAAGTGGAGGCGGCGATGAGCCAAAGCCGTTGCCAACAGGCCACGAGGCAAGGGCAGGTGAGCACGGGGGACAGAAGGGTGACGCTACGGTTGTTAACGACCGCTCTGCGAAGGCGAACAGGGCGGGGGGAGACTGTAGAAGGAAGGAAGGAGTTTGTGGCACCCTCTGTGTCACACCGTCTGTGTGATACAGATGCTAAACTGGGGAGGTTTCAGAGCAAAGGAAGACCTCGTGCTTAGCTTCTTTAAACCTGACGCTTAGGTCAAGCTAAACACAGTGGGCTGGGGATGGACCTGAACTCTCACGGCTGCAGAAGACACCAGACAGGATTCTGAAGGGGTGGCCGTAAAGGCCAGGCAGGACACGAACACAACGGTCAGGTCACGTGCTGAGGGCGGGATCTGATTTCCTTCCAGAACTGAAAAAGCCTTTTTTTTGCTATAGCCACTTTCATAAACTCAACACTCCTTTACTCTCAAAGCTGCTGCTTCTGTGTAAACTTCTAAATCCTCCTTCGACTCTATCTCTGTGGGCAGAGCCAAGCTGAGTCCTGGGGAGGGAAACACTGGAACAGCTTTGCAAAGGCGAAGCGCCACGGGCACGACTCCGTGCAGCCGGGAAGCGACCAGCAGCCGGTCACAAAGCAGCCTGGACCTTCCAAAACAGCCCCAGTGTCCTGCTCCCGACACCCAGGGAGCCCGCGTTCGGCACTGTCTCCGTCACCGCGCAGTCAAGAGAGAAGCTACCGGTGGGCTGGGGGACAGAACAACCCCCCAGGCGCGTCTTCACACCCGCACGCTCGGGGGACCCTTCGTTAGCTTGCCAAAGCCTCGCCCGAGAGACTCACCATGTAGTAGCCAGGCAGCAGCTTCTGTAAGAACTCAGCCTCTTTGTGCTGAACGGTTTTGATGATAAACTCGTCGTCGCTGGACACGTAGAAGAGGGATCCGCTGGCCCCGGAGTTGGAAAGTTCAATGAGAGGGTCATTGCAGAGCGAGTACTGCGGAAGGTGAGAAACACAGAGGTGAGGGACAGCAACGCGCAACTCCAGGGCTCTTCCTTTTAAACATTAACCCCCACCTTACCAGGTAGTCGTCCGGTCGGATCCCAAACAGCTCCCGGAAATAGCGGAAGGCCACCGGAGCATAGGTTTTGAACCGAAAGTCGTTGTAGTGATGAGCTGGGGTCAGGTTGCTCCCTTCACTGATCAAGGAGAGAAGCACACACAAGTATTTGTGAGACAGCTCTTATGAACCTGCCCTAAAACCCGCTGGCTGCGTCTAACACGCTGGGAGGGGGTAGGAAACACCCCAAAAGGGACACGCGTAGGCACCCGCGACAGCAGGTTGTTTGCGTGGCCGATGGCAGACATGGATGGGGAAGAGCCAGGACGCTTCGGAAACAGGAGGCAGCAGCATAGCGAGTGGCTCTGCTCAGGCGACCCGCGTTCACTCCCGCACACAACCGGCGCGGCTTCCTCGCGCGCCAGCGGGGTTGGGAGCTCACACTGCTACTCGCTCTGCGAACACCAGAGAGAGAAGGAAGCGAGAACCGACCTTGGGAAGAAAATGCTTTCGACGACGTAGAAATCCTGCATGAGAACATCTCTTTCGGGTTTGGTGCTCAAGCTTCCGACGGTGTGTGTAATGCCCAGCTGAATGGCGCCTTTCAGGGCGGATGACGTCGTCTGGCGGGGCAGAGAAAATGAGTGAGACGGTGCGGAGCCGCCGACTGGAAACGGGAATGAAAGGAGTTAAAGAGGAGAGAGCCCCTAGTTTAAAGCAGCGCTGTTCGGCAGGGTATTTGACACCTACTGGTTCCAGCTTCCACCTTCGGAGAAGGGAGAGACCTCAGAGCCCCTTCCAGTGCCTGGGGGGCTACAAGAGAGCTGGGGGGGATTTTCCCAAGGGCAGGGAGTGACAGAACAAGGGGTAACGGGTTTGAACGGAAAGAGGGAGATGGAGATGGGCCATCAGGAAGGAATTCTTCCCGCAGAGGGTGGGAGCACTGGGACAGGTTGCCCAGAGAAGCTGTGGATGCCCCATCCCTGGGAGTGTCCAAGGCCAGGCTGGATGAGGCTTGGAGCAACCCGGGCTATGGAAGGGGTCCCTGCATGTGCCAGAGGGTGGGGCTGGGGGTGCCTTGAGGTCCCTTCCAACCCAAACCATTCCATGATTTCTTTCTTATCAACCAACACCACTCTGGTGACGGGAACACCCTGACAGCACCCTATCTGACACGTGGTGGCCGAGCAGTAAAGGACTCCAACTGTAATCAACATCCAGTTTGTCCTTAAAAGGATGGAATTCCATTCCATCCTCCCCCAGTGCTCCTCTCCACACCCTGGGAAGACATCCCGGTGCAGATTACCTTGTACCCCCAGGAACAAACACGCTTCTCCACACCACACTCCGCCAGGTCTCGGGAACTACAGGCTCTGAAGTCTGTCCTTCCCCAGCTTGGGCCCAGATTTGGGTCTTCGGCAGCGCAAGGCAGGTACGGCCAGCGCACGAGGCACGCTCCCGTCTGGTACCATCCCATTCCTCGCTCTGCCTCCCTTGCTAGGACTCTCTAACCCTGAGGAGTTCCCTGTCGTTTGTAAATCAGGAGCAAGGACACAAATCCTGCATCCTCCACACAATGTAGGGCTGTGTTCTGGGAACAGCTACTCACATCCAGACTCCTCTTCTGTCTACAGAGCGCGTGACCTCATCCCTGAGCACCGAGACGTGCTACGGGCTGCCTTTCCCAGAACAGCCCGGATGAGATCCGCTCAACGCCCCGGCGTTACGGGCCCTGTCGGTTCCCAGAGCACGGAGATACGACCTCCGCTGGAAAGGCCGAGGCTGCGGAGCAGGTGGAGGTCGGATTTGTGCACTGCAGCTCAGGGATGTTTCACTTGGCTTAGACACAAAGCAACTGGACCCAGAAGAGGAGCCAGGGCTCGCGATCCGACCAGCTTGTGTTTGTTTCCCAAAGCTAAACCAAGCCCAGCCCCTCGCCACACACCAGAAATCACGGCACATCAAAGCATTGGGCACGAGGACACCGCAGCCTCCGGGAGGACAAACATCCCGTGGTTTTTCCACAGCCCTGTAAAACCAACGGAAACACATCTCCCACTTCACCGCTTTGCTGTTATCGTAGCTGTGAGAGAGCAGCTCTGAAGACAGAGCAACAAAACCCACCAGGACTCCAGCTTGCTGCAAGACCACATCCTTCCCTACCCAGCTACCCCTGTCCTCCACGCCTACTCCAGTGTGAGACGGAGAAGGAGAAGGAACTTGACTCTGCTCCCCCTCCTTGCCCTCTAAAGGTTAAAGGTGCTTGAAAACAGATCTCGGCTCACCTAGCTCTGCTCAAACTCCCAGCAGAGTCTCCCCGAGCTTCCCGACGCGGCGCAGCGCTGCCGCCTTGTTTGTGTGCGCAGAGCCGCGGGGCCGGGTTGCCAAGGAACAAGTATTTTTCTCTTCTATTTGCCAGCGCAAGCAGCTGAGCAGCTGCCTGCCTGTTTACAGTCGCTTTCACAAGGCAAAGAACTCAAAAACCACCCAGCTTCCCACCCCTGGAAAAGGAAGGGATGGAAAACAGAGAATGGGCCTTAGTCTCATTCCCAGATAAACGCCACGCCGTGTCCCACCAGGTTCCTGGGAGCCTCACAAAAGACATTTCAGGCGTTTGCCACTGGCTTCTAACTTCTAACTTTTCCCTCCTGTTCCCTCCTATCATGAAAGGCTGGGAGAGTTGGGCTT